GCATGTAAAGGGCTGAGAGTCCCGAGCTGAGGCGTGCATTGGGAGGGGAGGGCCCCATGCCTGGGGTTGGAGAAGGTGAGGTCGATTAGACTTGGAACTTGGGTGTGGTTAGGGAGGGCCTGAGGTCCACACCTCGGTCACCTGGTGTCCCTCAGTGCAGGAGCAGGTTGAGGAGTGAGGAGACGCTGAGTGGCGCATGGGGGAATGTCCAGGTGGTGAGACCAGGAGGGGGAGATGCACGAGGAAGAGGAGACAGCTGTCAGGGAGGTTGGATACAGCGCTTCAGAAGCTAAGAAACACAACACTAATCAACAGGGTCAAATGCTGCAAAGAGTTCCCATAATGACTTAAGGACTCAAGTGTCCTCCCAGGTCCCCCGGATGGAGGCCCTTGTGGTAGGGGCTCTGCAGCAGGACTCCTGGGGATGCCCTTCACGCCGACTACAGCAGTGGTGGAGGGGCCCTCTGGAGCTGAGAGGTGGCTCAGCAGCATCTGCTGAGCAGCGAGTCTATGACATTTACCTACGAGCTCCCTGACAGCCCAGGCAAGAAGGGTATGCACCCTTAGCTCTGTTTTCCCACAGAAGGAGATGGAGCCACTTCCTGGATGGTGACTTGGTGGCTGGGTAGGGAGGAAGAGAAGGGTGACCAGAGCTCCGCGTGTTGCTATTGGATTGAACTACTGTCATCTCACAGCAGCCACCTCAGGAGTGCCCGTGCTGTGTGCCGTGGCTGAGTGTCACCTCATCAGCTCTGTGTCACCCCACCCAACGCAGGCCATTCCGAGGCCCCTCTGAGGAACATCTGTTTAATAATCAGCAGGCAGAGCCAGCGTGCCTGCCCCATGAGGGAAAGGCAGGATGGGGCCCACTGGGAAGATTACCAGCTCAGAGCCTGCAGCCGGCTTGCCCCTCCTGGTAGAGGCCCACCCGCTGCCTTCCCAAGGCAGCTGGGAGATTGCCTTCGTGACTATGGGACAGGAGAACAGCTGCAGCTGGAGCCACAAGGCCACTTCCAGGCGGCCTATGGGTCGTGGCCCATGGAAAGGAGCCCTCACCGGGAACCTGAGCACCCGAGGGGGCTGCCCTGGGCCTGCTGAGGGCCGGTCCTTATCCCCTGCTCTAACTTTATTCCCTGGCCACGCTGGCTCACGAGTCTAACCAGCAAGGCAAGAGGGCCTCGTGCTCACAGGGGGAGATGATCGCTGCTGCCCCGAGTCCTGGGCCTGAACCCCAGTACCAGCCCTGCTGTACCGAGCTTTCCTGTGGCTACCCACCGGCAGCTCCCGGGAGGCCTGGGCAGTCCACTCGCCGTGGCTTACATAAGCAACACTGCACTTTTAGGGAAAAGATTTGAAGCTATTTAGGTCTGCAAAGGAAAATAAATCTGTCAGATAGTGGTCGTAGCCCCCCTCACCCCACCTCCCCGTCATCATCCTCACCCCCTTTTCCTGGTAACGCAGCCCCAGTTCCCTCCCCCTTGGGCAGTGCTGGCTTTGAGCTCCAGGTGGCGCTCTCCCAGAGCTTTCAGACCAGCACAGTCCACCACAGTCCACCTCCCACCCACAGGAGCCTTTCAGGAGAGGTGCCTCCTTCCCTCGCCCCATCATAGGGGCACGTTTGGTGGTCCACTGACGCCCTTCGCCCTGGCTCCATGGAACAGTTCTGCCAAAGCCTGGGGAGCTGGCCACAGGGTGGGGTGAAGGGGATTGTCTGATTGGTTGAACCATCTGCCACCAGCCCTGTTCCCCAGCAGGACTCGGACGGGGCACCTCGAGCCTGTGACCAACACTCCCTGCCCGCTCCAGGGAAGAGCCGAGGTACTGAGTGGCCCCGTGGGCAGGCAGCGGGCACAACCTAATCTTGGCTCCATCCCTGACCAGGTGTCAACGCCTGTTGAGGACCTGCGGTGTCCTTGGTTGTGCTGAGCCCCACCCAGGAGGTAGGAGCTGGCAGGAGGAGTTTGTGGTTGGACGCCAGCCAAGTGGAGCTGGTGCCTGCGGGTCAGGACCTCTGTGGACTGGTTACAGCACTGGGCATTGTGCCGTGGGCACGGAAGGCCCTCCACGCGACACCCTCGGTCTGCGAGTGAGAAGACTAGCTTTACGCGGGACTTCACCTCTTATCAGAAGTGCGTCCCGGGGTTTGAGCCTTCCCCTGCCCATCTGTGAAGTGGGGAGAGGACTCTGAGCCCTGGGGCTCACACCACTGCGGAGGCTCAGGGAGGGTGTCGGCGCAGCTGCTCTGGGGCCGACGGAAGCAGGGGAGCCATGGTGTCAGAGTGGCTGGCCGTCCAGGCATAGTGAGGGTGGGGTATGTGGGAGCAGGAGGGAAGCCTGGAGGGGCGCAGACTGCACCGCACCGTGGGGACACAGAGCAGGAGGAGATGGCTGAGAGCAGGAGTCTGGCTGCGGGGTCGCAGGTGGAGCTGAGGAGAAAGACCGAGATGGGGGCCCAGGCAGAGGCTTCTCTAGTACAGGGGAGGTAGTGAGTGAGAGAGGGAGAACGGGCTCTAATGATTCAGCAAAGGCAGCCGTGCCGGCACCCGCAGGCTCAGCAGGGGGGCTCAGACAGGCCTGGGGGCCAGCCCTGCTCTCCCGTCAGCGGGGTAGCAGTGGGTGAGGTGCTTAATCTCTCAGCCTCAGCTGCCTCGTCCGGATATTGGACAGTTTATTATCTGCTTTGAGGGTTGGGAGAACCAGGTGAGTCGATGGATGCCAGGTGCTTAGCTCCAGGCCTGGCCGCTGTCATGTCAGTCTTTATCCATGATATTAACAGGACGCACGACTCAGCTGGGGGGGAAGTGGCACCAGAGGAGACAAACGTGAAATAGTAACCAAGAGGAGGAGCGGACTTGGGCAGCTTGGGAATGTGGTTAGGGTGTGCTGGGGACATTCAGGTGTAAGCGACCGCCAGGAGGAGACTGGGATCAGGAGAGAGCCCTGGACCCAAGTCCGTGGGAGCCGTTTCGTGGACGTGGAGGCGATGTCGAGGCTGTTGGGGAAAACAGCGCCACCCAGGCCGGCAGGAGGACCGTGTGAGTGTGTCAGGACATTGAGGACTCCAGGGACGGGCTCTACCTGTCAGCTACAGAGCCGGGTCCGGGAGCAGCGTGTTCTCACAGGCCAAGTTGGGTAGTAGCATCAGGTGTAATTGTTTTATTTTTGAGTAGAAAAGGGACTGCTTGTCTTTTAGGTCACGTGATTTTGTCACACGTGAATCAAACACTACACAGCTGTGAGTGTGAGAAGACGAGGCCGCCTGAGCGTCGAGTGTAATTCTTTTTTTTTTTTTTGAGAGGTTTTTTGCTATAGGGCGCATGCGCTTGCCAGACAGACAGAGACAGAGAGACAGAAAGCGCGAAATCACCCCCCAGGAGGGATGGTCACGCCGCAATCCCTTCTCCTCCATTCTCCTCTCGGGATCTTGGGCACGCACACACACGCGCCCGGCGTGAGTTTTAAGCCACCGGGTCCAGGATGTGAACCGCGGTCAACTACGTGGGAGTCCAGCGACATAGCCATTACACTAACTGCTGGCTCCCGGTCCAGTGTAATTCTGAGAAGCAGCGTAGGATCACGTACTGGGGGCGAATGTACAGGGAGGGGTAGAAGGGGGCGTAGGGAGGACCAGGACAGGCCTGGGGAGCACTACCATGCAGGGATGGCCTAGTGGTGAAGGCAGCCAGGTCCCGCATGGCCCACTGTGTGCTCTGAATCTCAGCCTGCGGGGTGCATGCATGTGCCTGCCCCAGACCCTGACTGGGGGAGAAATGGAGAAGGAGGTGGCAGTTGCTGTGCCCAAAGGGGGACTGCTTTCTCCCTCTCCCTCGCTCTCTGTCTCTCTCTGGCGAGTGCATGCACCCTCTGATACATTTTCAAAAATGCCAGGAGAGAAGTGAGTGTCAAGGAGCATGCGTTCTGCTCATATGGTCGAGAGGCTGAGGAGGGGAAGACTAGGGTGGCCTCAGCGTGTGACATCCAGGAGCCCCTGGTGTGGAGATGATCTGGCCCTGCCGTGGGCTGGGAACAGGAACGGGAGGGTAGGGAGAGAGAGTGGACGGCGTGCCCGAGGGAAGAGAGGAGGGAGCGTGGCGAGAGAGGGTTCTGGGGACACGCAGACTCGGTATCCTCAGACACGCACCCCCTCACACGCGTTTATGGAGCGCCTACCCTGTACGTGGTTGAAGGGAAGGAGCCGGGGCAAGGGAAAAGTAGAAGTGCGTGAGAGAGAGACCGAGGCTTACAGTTCAGACGAAGGTGAGGCGACAGCCATGCCACGTGGAGAAGGGCTTCCTGCTCTTCCTGGGAAGTTTCCGGGGGAAAGCGGAAGCTGTGGGGTTGCCATAGGTGACCGATCGTGTCATTGGTGTCCGTCGCAAGGTCATGGGTGAGGCCCGAGAGCAGAGAGGCGTTCCCCCAGCCCTTGTGGGGAGTAGGAATGAGCTCTAAATGGTCATTTTGTTAACCAGCAATTTCCTCTCCCTGATAAATGTCCTTAACTCTCCGTAATTGAAGGAGAAGGCGCCAGAGGTCAGTTGAGGAAGCTTTAATTTGGGTAACAGGGAGAGAAAGCAGCTAGAGACCAATTACTCTGTCATTACACAAGCTCATTGCCATGCTGAACTCCCGAAGTGAGGCAGGGCTGCATTCCCACAGGCAGGGGAGCCGGAAGGAGGGAGCACCGCTCTGAGGCTGGGCCCTGGGGAGGAACACAGGGATCTCGGTCCCAGGAGACTAAACCCTGAGGTTTCCAACAAAGAGGCAGGGCCTAGCTCTGGTCTGAGGGTCCGGTTCATCCAGTCCTTACACCCCCAAAACCAGAACTCAAAGAGGGCCCTGCAAAATAAGGCTGCCTCCTCGTTGACACTTTCTTCCAGGTTAGCTCTGCCTCTGACTTACTGGGTCAGGTTAAGCCTGTCCTTGTCCCTTGAGGCCTCAGTTTCCCTAGCTGTAGTCTTGGTTACTAGGCCAGATCAATTCCAAGGAACCTTCCAGCACCATCCTCTGAGTCTATAGAAGCCTGCTGTCTCTTAGCCAGTCTTGCAGGCCCAAGTATCCTGTGAAAGCACCCGCTTCTTCCGACCCTGTACTCGGCCCCGTGGGACCACACAGGCTGTGGGCACGGTCCTTAACCGCAATGACCAGGTATAACTGCATGGCATATCGGCCAGCAGGTTACCGTGCCATGGCGCCTGACCACGTGAAACCAGCAAACGTGCCACAGTGCAGAAGAGGGAGATGAGAGAGGGGAATGAGGGTGGAACAAAGCTGGGCCTGACCCATGATCAAGGCTCGGCTGAGCCTCTAACTTGTGTGACCTCAAAGGCTTATCCCCTCTCCAGTCCTCCAGACTGGCCTGGAAGACCCCCCGAGGTTTCCCTGGCTTCTGGCCAAGCCAGAACCCAGAGGCAGAAATGAACGAGCAGGCTCTGGGTGTGGAGTTTGGGGTATGGGATGGGATGAGGCTTGGTGAGAATTTGTGTTTGAGGTGAGATGGGACTCAAGGCTGGGCACGCCAGCAGGGCTGACCAGCCCAGGGAATCAATGCAGGCAGATGTGACATGAGGATAGGACATTCCTGACTGAGGGTCCCAGCCAGCAGGTTAGGCCTCTCTGTCCCCTGTCATTCTTGGGTGACTCTAAGCTCCAGGTAAGGGGCTGAGACGTTATGAGAAGGGACAGACACGAGGAGGGGGATGGGCTTTGGACTGATGGGTGACAGCCGAGGTGCTCCCTCGTAGTGACCACAGCCCTGTCCTCTCCTCTCCAGGGATGTGGGGCCTGGTTAACAATGCAGGCATCTCGACGTTTGGAGAGGTGGAGTTCACCAGCATGGACACCTACAAGCAGGTGGCAGAAGTGAACCTCTGGGGCACAGTGCGGATGACGAAATCCTTTCTCCCCCTTATCCGAAGGGCCAAAGGTGAGTCGGAAAGGGAACTCTGTCCTGCCCCTGGACCCGCCTCTCTCATTTATCTCTGCTCCGAGTAGGCGTACCTGTCCTAGGAGGTGCAGAACCCACAGCCTAACAAGGCTGAGCTCAGCAGGCACAGAGGGCCAGGCTGGGCCTGGGTCTGATGGTGGTCAGAGGTGCCATGGCCAGGTGTGGCAAGAGGGGTGTGTGGCATTCAGAAAGTAGGCAGGTAAGAGGCCAGTGGTCTGTGCACTAGAGGCTTAAAGGTTATAGCAGCAGTTCAGTCTGGGCGCCTCATCACTCTGCATAAAGTCGTGGGTACACATCATTGCATCAGTAGGGTGCGGGTACGTACAATTTGGCATAGCCATTCTATGGGTGATTACACCATAATTTAAAAAGTGAGACTGCCGTGGTATTAAGAAAAATTACTGGGACCAGCAGTTGGTGTAATGGCTATGTCACTGGACTCCCATGTAGTCGACTGCAGTTCGAGTCCCGGACCCAGTGGCTTAAATTCATGCTGGGCGTGTGTGCATGTGTGCCCAAGATCCCGAGAGGAGAATGGAGGAGAAGGGATTGCGGCGTGACCATCCCCCCTAGGGGGTGATTTCTCGCTTTCTGTCTCTATGTCTCTCTCTGTCTGTCTGGCGAGTGCACGCGCCCTACAGTGAAAATCTCTCCAAAAAAAAAGAAAAGAAAAGAAAAAGAAAAAGATGCCAGGCACATATGCGTGTGTGCCTCAGATCCCAAGAGGAGAATGGAGGAAAGGAAACTATGGAATGGCCATCCTCCCATAGCAGCGTGGGTAGGTGGGGGTTCTCACTTTCCCTCTCTCTCTGTCTCTGTTTCTCTCTGGCAAGTGCACATGTCCTATAGCAAATTTTTAAAAAGGAAGAAAGAAATGTACCACCCAGCCTGCTTCCCTCTCTGCCAAGCTGCCTTGGCCTCCATCCGGGATGGAGCGGCATTGGGGAGCTGAGCCTGACAGCCCAGGTGCTCCCCTCTTCCAGGGCTTCCTCAAGCCCTTCCTGCTGCCGCAGCCCCTGGGCGACTTTTTCTCTGCACTTGTTCCTGACCCACCTCTAGTGTTGCCACCGGGGTGGACCCTCGGACTTGTGTATAACTGCACATCTTCCTCCTGGAGCTGAACTGTGAGCTCCATGAGGGTAACCGGGATCGGGCTCCATTTCTCCCGACAGCAGCAGACCTCACCTGTAGCGCATGCTCGGAGCCACACAGGCATGGCGGTCTCTCCCCCGCCTTCTCCCACTGTCTCTGGCTCCATTGGTGTTGGAGTTGGGTGTGTGTTTCCTGTCCTGGTGCAAAACCCTCTTCTCGCCATTCCTCCTGCCCTGTCCTACCTGGCACGGCGGGCACTTAGGGACATCAGGGATACCGATGCTGGTGTGTGGGCCTGATTGGGGCTTCCCTACTGAGTGAAGAGTTCCCTTAACCTCAAGTGGGTCCAGCCAGGCCTCCAGAAACACGGCAGCCCCGGCCCTGTACGTCACAGGGTGGTGCCCCTGCAGCCCTCCTGAGCAGACGCTGCTGTCTCCCCTGCAGGCCGCGTTGTCAACATCAGCAGCATGCTGGGCCGCATGGCCAACCCCGCCCGCTCCCCGTACTGCATCACCAAGTTCGGGGTGGAGGCTTTCTCCGACTGCCTGCGCTACGAGATGTACCCACTGGGTGTGAAGGTCAGCGTGGTGGAGCCTGGCAACTTTATCGCGGCCACCAGCCTCTACAGCCCTGAGAGCATCCAGGCCATCGCCAGGAAGATGTGGGACGACCTGCCCGAGGTCGTGCGCCAGGACTACGGCAGGAAGTACTTCGATGAGAAGATCGCCAGGATGCAGACCTACTGCAACAGCGGCTCCACCGACACGTCCCCTGTCATCGACGCCGTCACACACGCCCTGACCGCCGCCACCCCCTACACCCGCTACCACCCCATGGATTACTACTGGTGGCTGCGGATGCAGGTCATGACCCACTTGCCCGGAGCGGTCTCCGACATGATCTACATACACTGATGACCTTGGCCCTTGTTGGGGAGCCCTGGTGGGATGGGAGGGGGGAAGGTGCTCATATAGTCACCTCTTAATTTTCCACTGTGGATTATCCACTGTCCTAAGAGGATCTAGTAACCATAGGAAATAACCCAGCCCGACTAGTTTTTATAGGGAATGGCTTGGGCCTTCACCAATGGGGTGCATAGTGGCCCCTAACAGGGTCCCCAAACCTCAGGGCAAACATAGTGCATCCATTTATCTGGAGTTGATTTCAAACACAGGTTTTGGGGAAACATCTTTATAGTAAAAACAGATCTATTCTAGAATAGAATCCAAATTCCTTTACACGTTTAATATCAGTTCCAAAAATATATCTCATGTGATCCTTACGCCAGCCTCACGAGTACAAAGGACAGAATTTTGTTGTTCTTCTGTACACGAAGAATTTGCAGCTCAAGGAGGATAATGACATAACCCTTTTATGGCTCACGATGGTGCGGGTCGTGCGTTCCTGCTCCTGCTGTCGAAACACGTCACATTGGTGCATTCCAGGGCTGTTTGGGGTCCCGTTAGCTAAGATCCTCTGGCTGAGTCTGCGTCCTCACCTGACCCCACGTACCATGTGCCTGCCTGTGTACCTCTTCACATGTCCGTGGTGCTATGTGACCCATCCCAGAGCCAGCACTTCAGAGCTGGCCGTGTGGGCAGGGGCAGTCCTTCTGGAGATTTCCATCTGTGATGTCTGTGCCCTCCTTAGGCTTGTGTGGAGGTGCTCTTTGGCTAAGGGGCAGGTTGTTTCTGGTTTGTGTCTTCTTGGGTTTGTCTGGAGTGGAGCTGGGGTTGATGGGACACCCTTGGCAGGGGCAGTGGTGCCAAAGCTGTGCACCGTGACACCATCTTCCCCGGGGTGGTTTGGACTCCCTGCCTCTCTCACATGGTGCTCACACTGACACACACAGCCCTGTCCTGCAGGGCCTTAGGGTCGCCTTCACCAGTGGCCCACTTTCCTGCTGTGGCCTTACTTTTAATCAAGAAGCCAGGCCATTGATAGAGAGGAGACTGTGTTACCACTTCTTAGGTTTGGGTTTGATGGCAGCCGTCCCTGCAGTTGCTCAGGGCCTGGATATCTGGACCCACACCAGGTGCCACCATCCTTCATGTGGCTGTAGGCCTAGGGCAGGGTTCCAGGTGCCAACCTCACTAATCAAACTAGCATTTCCACCTCTCCCTGGACGGGCTGGACCTGCCACTAGAGGGCGCCCGCCCCCTCTGCAGCCAGAGCTGGCCTCTGCCCGACTCAGGAGCTCCCACCCAAGCCTCAGGTCTCTCAAAGGCTTTAGGGTCCTGCCTTGGAAACTCAGGGAACAAGGAAGCAAAACCCCTTTAGAAACACTTCTTGCAGCTGCCTTGAACCTGGAGCTTGGTGCCAGGAGAAGGCAGAAGATCCTGGGCAGCTGGGTTGGGCCATGGGGCTCAAGCAGTCCCAAGGAAGAGGGGTCTCACAAGGGGCAAATTCAGCCTGCCTTTGGGGCCTGTCTCAGCTCCCTGCCTGTGGGACAAGACCTAGGGGGCCTGGGGAAGCAGGGGCGGGCAGGCAGGCCGGGCTGAAGCCCTCTGGAACCTGGCGTGTTTGTGTAACAGGAGATGCGGTGTGCCGCAGGGCCCTTTCAGAATCGCATTTTTACATCTTTGGGAGAATCTGTTTTCATGCTTAATTTTATTAAAGGAAAATGGAACACTTGGAGTTACATGCGTGCATCAATACCTGGGAACCAGAGGGAGGGAGGCTGCTGCAGTCCCAGTTCCGGATCACCAGGAAGCGGAGCATTAGAGAAGTCACATCTGCTTCTGTCGGGGTCTTCAGCAGTGAGCCAGGACTGCAGGGTGAGCCTGCCCCTGCTTCCTCAGGCCTGCTGGGGACAGATGGTATCCACAGGCCCTGCCTTGGGTAGGAGCAGCGTCTCCAACATCCTCCGCTAGGAAAGATTTCCTGAGCCAGGAAGACCCGGGGACACATCTGCCACTCTCGGGCCTGCACCTCCGGGCCTGGGCCTCAGTGCACACTCCTCTTCCCAAGTGGCAGGTACCTGTCAGCAGGGGCGTCTGGTCAGCAACTAAGTCCCCCTCCCATCCTCCATACATGCCAAATTCTTATGTGGAAGACCTAACCTCCAACATGACTGTGTTTGGAGATGGGGCTTTTAGGAGGTAATTATGATCAAGAGGCCATAAGCGTGGGGTTCTAATCCAACAGGATTGGTGGAAAAAGAGGTCCCTGTGCATCTTGGACTTCAAGCCTCCAGAAGAGTATGAGAATCGATTCTGCCGACGAGGCCACCCAGTCTAGAATTCTGTGTGAGGCAGCCCAAGCAGCCGTCCACAGCCAGGAACCAAGCATTCATTACCACCTTGTTCCTCCCAGGGCCTGAGCCCTGGAGATGGTCTAGCAGCACCTACTGGTCCCAGTCTGCTGCCACATGTGACTCTGAGCTTCAGCTGGGGTCCCAGGTAGAGAGAAGCCTGTGGACAAAGCCTGCAGCTGTGGGCGAAGGGTTCGGGCTGGGCTCAGCTGTGCCCAGGACTTCGCCTTTGCCTGTCTGTGGGGACCCATGGTTTGGTACCTCTCCCCCTTGATGGCTGGAGACTAGGCAGAGGCTTTTGCAACTGGCAGCCTGGCTCTGCCTGTCACAAGCTGCTAGGGCCACACCCCTGCCACCCAGGTAGGGTGTCGCCACAGGCTCCCCACTTGTGAGGTCTGCTGACTTCCTGTGTTTCCAACGAGGTCTGGCTCTGCCAGCCTATGGGAACCTCTTCTGCCTGCGGAGCGAACAGAGCTCCCTGACTGGGAGGCCTGGCGACCACCAGGCACCTGCATGTGCAGAGCCGGGCACGTTCCCCAGCCTGTTCACTGCCTTCTCTCACCCGACTCTCACAGCTGCCTGGCAGGTCGGCAGGGTGGGGATCTTAGCTTATTTCAAAGATAAGGAAACAGGCCTTCCAGGTCTCCCCGAGGAAGAGAGAGCCGGGAGGCTCAGCCACATCTAACCTCCAGTCCAGAGCCAGCGATGCATCAAAAACAGGGCAGATGGCACCAGGATCTAAAATAAGGAGGGGGAAAAAATACCTCAATTATGTAACAGTGAGAACAACCATCAGGGCTAGGCACAGTAATAGCCACGGAGCACGGCCACGCGAGCCCGCTCCTCCTCGCCTTCACTGGGGGGCTCTGAGCGCCACTCCATAGAGAATGTTCTGGAGGAGCCCACCAACATCCCTCCAGCGGGAAGTTCACCTCAGCTGGGCTGGCACGGCCTCTCTGGGTCATATCTGAAGGAATACCCCAGGAAAAACAAAGCCCAAGCTGGGCAGAGGTGAATTCTTGAGCTGCTCTCGAGGGGCTCCAGTGTCTGTGAGCACAGAGCTTGGGAATACAGGGATACTTTTTTCCTGCTCAGAGATGGAACACAGGTTGTGGGGCTCTGGTGGTCTGGTGGAATGAAACAAAAAACTGCAGAGGCCTTTCTGGACGTGCAGGCGCTGGGGAAGGGTGACTTGGGGCACTGGGTGAACACTGTTGGCCGAGTCGGGGACCAGGACCAGGGACTATGGCTGAGAGAGGCTGCAGGGCCTCCTGTCAGAGAGGGAAAGGGGACTCAGCCGTCAGCATCTGGGATAAGGGGCCTGCTAGCCAGGGCTTGAACCTCTCCAGTGATGGGGAGCTTCCAAAGGACATTTCCTCGGTTTGGGAAACATTTCCCATGACTGAGTTGTAACCTGCCACCTCTACCTTAACTCTTTTGGCACCGGGCCATGACCCAGACCTGCACAGCCCACTTTAACTCTTCGTAAATAGTCTTTTGAATATTTGGACATGACCAGGTCAGGGAAGAGCCCAGCTTCCCCGCGTAACGAGGTTGCTGTACTCCTCACTGAACAGAAGGTTCCACAGTGGGTCTCCACCGTTAATGACACACAGCAGGCCACATGGCCACCAGGGTTCCCCTGCAGCAGCCAAGGACGGAGACAGATGCTGACAGCTCCTCACCTGCACGCGCCCCCTCACAAGCAACCAGGTGAGTTCCTGACTCATCTCATCATACACCGCTCAGGAGCCAGGAGTCGGGCAGGGCCGGGTTATAGATAAGGAGACAGTTTCAGGGAGGTGATGGCATTTGTCAGAGATCACAGAGCCAAGATGGAACCCCAGGCCTCTGGCTCCCACTCCCTTCTTTTACCCACAGGCTGCCTCAGTTTCTTCTCAGGTTGCCTCAGTTTCCTCCCCAGGGGGCATTAAAGTCAACTTCTAGTGCACAGTGCTGCAGAGAACTTGGTAAGGAGCCCAGCCGTTTGGTCTCACCTGGAGTCTGTCTGCAGTGTCTGTGGCATCTCGGGTGCCCTGCATGTTGACGGAGGGCCTGGGGCAGGAGAAGGCAGGGCAAGAAGTATTCCTAGGGCCTGAGCACCGTCCTGCTCGGCGACCTCAGAGATGTGCCAGGAGACGCGTGTGAACCAGACCTGCCGCAGGAGACGTGCTCCCAGAAACACCCTGGGCAGCTCTCTCCATGGAACCTAATTACTCTGTAGAGTGAGAGGCGACTCCCACTTATCAAATTAGAGATGAGCTTAATTACATCTGGCGGAGGAGCTGCACCAGGCTTTTCCGACGAGCAGTGAGTCGGCGCTCCCCTCAGCTTTCACCGTAACCGACCCAGTTTCAAGAGGAACCGCTGCTGTTTCTTCGTTGGGGTGTGGGGAGGGGGTGGGCATGAAACTCTGCTGTTAGACAAGACGGGCCAGGAGGGCTGCACTGGGCCCTCTCCTGTACTGGCCATGTCCCGCTAGCACTGGGCCATCTGGCTGTGTGTCCCATTACCGGGTTGTCGGCTCTGCTGGATCCTCTCTCCTCTTGGTGCCGTGTTCTGGCCAATGTCTGACCCAAGGTTTTCCATGTGGTGCGAGTGTGGTGCTGGGCGAGAAAACACGCACTTCGGAGATGCAAGTCACCTTCAAGGAAACGGGAAGGAGCAACAGGCCACCAGGGCCTGGTAAAAGCGCCACAGCTTCAGAAAGGACATCGTCATCCTCGACCTCGCTGCAGGCTGGCAGGACTCACAGGCCACCGTTCCAGGGGAGCAAGCTGGGGAGAGGCCCAGCGGGGTGTCGGGGGCCGGATGGGAACCGAGCAGCTCCTGACAGTAACCAAAGGCCATTAGTGCTCTAGGCTCTGAGGTGCAGCCTATGCTTCATGGCCTCTGCTCCCTCCCTCTGGCCCATTTCAGTCTCCTCTTGGCGCCTGGCCCTCTCTAGGCCCCAGGGGGGTCCACGGCAGGCAGCCCACTGCCCGCCCAGTGCTCACAGTCGAGCCTACAAAACCGGGAAGTTCGACCCCCAGGAGCAGTGCCACGATTGAGGGAGGAAGTGAAAGGCTTTATTCTACTAGATCTGAATGGAAGCCATTTGCAGTGTACACACGGCCTTCTCGCTCTGCTTCCCTGCGTGTCCTTGGAGCCCCGGTCAGCAGCTCACACGGATGTGAGTGGGCAGGGCTCCTTACTCACTTCTCCTCACTTTCTCACAGGTATAATGTAAGCGCCCCAGAAGCCCAGATGCCAGGGTGTGAGATGGCTGAGCAAGCAGTGCGGGGCCACCTGGAGAACGGCCAGGCGGGGCTTTGGTGACACACTGGATGGGCACATGGTGTGGAGGCTGAGGGCAGAACCAGGCCAGACACTAGGGCTGGGCCCAGACGTGGAAGGGAGGACAGCACTGTGACAAATTACTGTCTTCAGTCCTGGGGGCTGATCTGTGAGGTCAAGTGTACCACAAAGATTACAGTCGCGCATAAGAAAGAGGTGGGGGAGGCCTCTTGGTTTTCTGCAGCAGAGAAAGAGGGGACATAGCCAGAGGGTCCCCCCAGTGGGCAGCTGCTAGGAAAGGGAGCCCACTGGTGATGCCCATGTTAGATACAGAAGAGATCTCAGAGACCCTGCAGCGGGAGAGATGGTAGGGAAACAAGTCTTGTGGAAAACGTCATTGTGGTGAGGCTGAGGAGAAAGAACACAAGTTTTGGAAGGAGAGAGACTTGACTTTGATCCTATTCTACCACTTTCTGGGTGTACAATGCTGTCCAGTTATCTGGCCTCTGAGCCTCAATTTCCTTATGTCTACAAGGGGACTAGGAATACCAAGCCAAGCTTACACTGGGTACATTAGGTGAGCGCAGAAGCTCCTCAGCACCATATCTGGAAGGGGGTCGGAGGGCTACTCGGGAGTTGGCCCAGCCAGCTTAGTCAGGCCAGCCCCACCACCTGACCTTTCTGAGAAATGCGTAAGCCACAGGCGCTCCGGAGGTCAGACAGATGAAAACACTCAGGGTGGGACCTCAGCAGCCAGCACCCACCTTCCTGCCCACCCTGCATCCTAGAGGCAGTCAGTTCCTCCTTCGAGTGCCCCTTTCTGACTACCCCATGGAGAACGGACTCTGCAGCCCCGCATCACCTCCTCACCGGAAATCCCTGGGAGGATGCTGGCTGGATTAAGGAATTACTGGCCAGGAGGGTTAAGCCTAAAAATCTCAGACAAGTCCATCCCAAGCATAGAGGGGGGATATTTTTGAAGCATAAACCCTTAAAACTATCCCGGGGGATCAGCCCTATCATTCAGCTTAGGGGAGGGCGGTGGGCCTGTTCCTCCCACCCTGGCTGGCTGCGTTTGGGTGCTTCTGTTACCACTCAGTTACGTCTTACCA